TGCGATAACGCAAGACTCTTATCACGCGATAAAAAAATTATCGCCGTTAATCTATTCTCAAAGTTGGGTTAGGAGCTCGGTCTATACCGGATTTCCACCAAGGAAGGTAAGCGCCGCGGAACAGCTGCACCGCGGAACGGTTGTGTCCTCTGCCCGGCGACCCCCCACCCCCGTCGGTCGTAGGTCTGGGCAGTGGCGCCTTAATGCATGGGCTTACCTGGGCTTCAGCCCGGGGCCTCGGTCAATCAGGGGCCTCTTAAAAAATATTTATTTAAAAAAAGATGATAAACGTCCGTATTCGCGGTGTCATTACTGACCCCCCCCCCCCCCCCCCCCCCGTCAACAATCGCGCACCTCTCCCCCTCCGGTCAACAATCGCGCACCTCTCCCCCTCCAGTCAACAATCGCGCACGCCTCCCTGCCCTCCGTCAACAGTCGCGCACCTCTCCCCCTCCGGTCAACAATCGCGCCCCCCCCTGTCAACAATCGCGCCCCCCCCCCCCCCCCCCCCCCCCCCGTCAACAATCGCACAGACTTATTTTTAGTCATTATTTAGGTAACACACGCATATTATGAATGCCTTCGACAGAATTCAAATGAGCCATTTTAATCTAGATTAATCTAGATTAATTCCAAAATTACAGTTAGATTAATCTAGATTAAAGAAATTAATCTATGCCCAACACTAATATATATATATATATATATATATATATATATATATATTGAAGTAGCCTCATAGTTGTATCAACATTTGCAACTGACTGTTAAATTAAAAAAAGTACAATTCAAAAATATGTATTGTCACTAAATATTGAAGTATACATGCAGGGCTCCAGAGTGCGACCTATTAGGTCGCATATGCGACCTAATTTCTTAAGGTGCGAGTTAAAATTGAATGAGGTCGCTCCGGTGCTACTTGCAGGAGGACGAGTGAGAAAAAAAAAAGTTTTTTGTTTTTTTTCTTTCTCTCCCCACTCCCCACTATGTTGGTGCATTAATGGTTGTGGTTGATAATAAAATATTACTTTCTGGCTCATTCCTGCGAGTCCTATCTCTCCTCTCTCTCTCTCGCTCCCTGTCTCTCCCTGCCTGTCTGTCTGCACACGTTACGTGCACAGTCGTGCGCGCGCGCGTACACGCAGCGCGCTCAATGATCGCGCTAAATTAAAAAATTTAAACAAAGCAGATATGAAGCGGTCGATAGTAGATTATTTTGCACCAAAGCATGAGTGTCGTGCAGTCCTGCCGTGGATGGCTGGTCTCCCCCCTTCCCGTGGGAACCTCCGAAAACGGCGACGCCGCCTCGCACTACGCAGCACGGACCGCACAGTTCCCCGACTCAGCTTCGGGGCCGTGGCGAGCACTTGCAGGTGCTGCCCGATTACTACGGTTTTCTACGGCCATCCTGGTTGATCCCATACACATATATACGTAGACGCCTCATGACGTGCTGGAACGTAACCCAGCGTCGCCGCCATATTGGTTGGGTCTCCTCACTCTAGTCTAGCATAGGAGTCAACGGGAGAGCAAGCTATGCAGTATTTTGTGCAGCTTACGGCGCAGTATTGACACCAGATCGCGTGGGATTACCTTTCACAAGTAAGATTGAACAATTATTCTTATTATTTAAAAAAAAAATATATATATATATATATATATATATATATATATATATATTAATTCGTCCTGTATCATAAATAAATCTCTGCCGTTCGTAACAAACCAAACCGTGTGAAAATCCGGTAAAAATGCGGGGAGTTATGCTTATTATTGTAGTTGGGGATACACTTCCTCAGTAGAAATAAATGCACTGGGGACGCACTGGGGACCCATCCAAGATGGCGGCCGCGCTGATACGTCAGCTCCAACAGGCAGCGTCAGTCTATGAGGCGTCTACGTATATTATGTCTATGGTTGATCCTGCCAAGCAGTGGCGCGTGTGGGGTTGTGTTCCGAGGAAGAAGGCTGCCGACACAGGAAACGCTTTAACTCACTTCATTTGTTTTAGCTTTAGGTATTTAACTATGAAACAGAAGGAGGAGTATTGTAAATATCACGCGCGTGGAGAGCCCCTCGCTTTGCCTCCGTCCGGTGGCGCTGCCTGGGGGATTCTGACCCTCACCGGATCTTTCGCCCGGATGGTCTCTGGGCAGGAGGCGTGGCCTCCATGACGCACAATGGCTAGCGTTGAGCGCCCGCCCCCAGTGTATTATGTATGCCGCCACCTTGTGTTGAGGTGCAGTTAATACAACTTGTATATTTATTTCTACTCCTTTGTGGCTATGTGTAGATATTACAGCCTGCTGATACATATGTTATTACTTATTCTCAACACGCGGGAAGGGGGGGGGGCTGCAGCCCCCCTCACATAGGGCTGATGCTATCAACCCCCCCCCCCCCCCTGAAAAATATGGTGCTACCTAATTTGTTTTGGTGCTACTAAATGAAAAGCTAGGTGGCACCAGTGCTACATGTGAAAAAGTTAGTCTGGAGCCCTGTATACATGTGTACATTGAACTATACATATAATAATAATACAAATAATGATAATAATAACGATGTTTTTCTCTCGTTAGGTTAAGGCTGCAATTAAAATAAAATAGAGAAAATAAATAAAATAGCATTTGAAAAATTGTGCATCTTAAAATAAAGTGATTCATTTTAGAAAAATAAAATACCAGCAGCTTGAGTTTCCCTTTTTCTTTGTTAACTGTCTCAACACATTTTTACAATAAATTAATATAAACACATCTTAACAATTGAACAGTTTTACAGTTTCTTTCTTCCCCTCTTATATCGTATGCCCCCACTTTCTGTTCTTTCAGTTCAGTGAGAGAACTGAGGGCTGGAATGGTGTCAAGGCCATTCTCATGCACATGTGAAGGTGCTCATTGGTGAGCCTGGAACAATATTTAGTTTGACTAATGTTCATTGTGGAGAAAGCTGCATCACAGTAGCCTAGAACTCTAGACACCCCCTAGCGGCAGCAAATTTATTTGGCAGCTAGGTAGGGTCTAGCACTGCTCCGTCGGCTTTTTGGTGCTGGAAACACCAAGTGTGTCTTGTATGTCTGACCAATCACAGCGTGAGGGGCGGAGTCGAAAGCCGGGCTACCTAATGACGACAGAAATGCGACGGTTCTGTGTTAGAGGTAAACAATGGCTGCTGCTGCTGGCGAACGGTTGTCTTTCCTCTCGGCTTTGGCCGCGACTCTTCAAGACTTGAAGTTAACATTTTATTTGAGAAAAGAACAAAGAACGGCACTGAAGTCTTTCCTCGAAAATAAATATTTATTCTGAGTTTTGATTAATTACGTAGTCAGAGCCGTCGCTCTGACTACGTCACCTTCTTCGTTGCTCTGATTGGTTGTAGCGCTATCCTATTGCGTGCAGAGGGAACTTGAAAGACAACCGTTTATCCCGCCCACACTGCCAATGGAGCTGATCCAGACCTTACATCTTTCTGATGTAGGTCTGGCTTGCCAGGCTAGCATCACAGCTGTATGTGGACCCAAACATGGTAAAGATGAACAGGGCTACATTCCTCAAATCTGGGAAAGCTGTCTCAGAGACCATTTGGAGCTAGAAAGTGGCAGGGTCACTGCTCTTTCAGGGCCATATCTGCTTGCAGATCAATCAATTGCAGCTGGAGAGGCCCAACATTTACCCACTTGAAGTGCTGTGTGACTTATTTTGAGAACCCCCTGACATCTGTGATTAGAAATGGGTTCTGAATGAACATGGTGAGCTGCTGTCCAAAGCTGAATCTGTCAAAACGTTTGCTGAAGTAAGCTTATCAATAAGCAATAAGCTTATCAACAAAGTCAACTAAATGAGACATATCTCTCTGTCCCTGAACCTGTCCCTGCACTACTGGGCAGTGTTCACAGTCTCCCTGCAGGTCTTCCTTGAACACCTCAAGTTTCCTCTGAAAGGATTGGACAGCTGTCATCAGTTCACAAACTGAATTGTCCTTGCCCTGTAGCTTCAGATTCAGTTGATTCAGATGTGATGTGATATCAACCAAAAATGCCACATTATCCATCTTTTTCTCGTCTTTTAAAAATGCCTTCTGACCTCTCAGCTCAGCTAAGAAAGCTTCTACTTGCTGTCCCTTCTGATGGACCAAAAGCGCTCCAACACCCTGACTTTGCTGAGCCATCTCACATTGTTGTGAAGCAAAAGATCATCAGCGTTTGCCTCAACTTCTCTCAGGAATTCCTTGAGCAAGCGATGCTGATAGGAAGAGGATGCCCTGAGAAAATTTATAATTTTCATCACCTCAGCATGCTCATCAGACAGAGTGGAGCACAGGACAGATTGATGAATTATACAGTGATAAGAGATGAGTTCGGGATTGTCCTCTTTAATCCTTGCTACAGCTCTTTTCTCTCTTCCTATCATGGCAGGGGCTCCATCTGTTGTTATTGAAACTATTTGTTTCAGCTCTATTCCTCACTTTGTTAACATCTCCTTAATTGCCAGGTAGATGTCCTCTCCTCTTGTGCTAGTCTGAAGGGGACTAACAACTAACAGGTCTTCACAGAACACATTCTTCTCTTTTATGAAACATTTTCCATAAGCCTACACATGATGCCTTATGGATAGCTTCATCCAGCTGGGCTAGCACATCTTGGGCTAAGAGTTCTGCTTTTTGATGACATAGGTATTTGCCTAATTTTGTCACATAGCTCTTCTTTTTGTTTTCCCTCAAGTAAGGTCTCTGCTACGGCACTCATGCACTCCTTGACAACCACTCCATCAGTAAATAGCTTTTTGTGTTGACCCAAACTCTAAGCAACTCTGAGGGAACATTCAGTAGCACGTTGTTGGGCAGTCAATGAATGGGTCAGGATCCTGGGTGATTGCTCATATTGGGATCTGAGAATGATTATTTTCTGTGACCTCAGGTCAGACTTGAGTGGAAAACACAGTTTCACCTAATACTACCTTGATTTATTGAGTAGTTGATCTGAGCGACTATGCAAAGAAAGGGAGTGGGCTAATCCAGGATATGAACCCGAGACCTCTCGCACCCAAAGCAAGAGTCATACCTCTAGACCAACGAGCCAGATGATGGAGCACCAAGATGGTCCCATGTTCACGACAAGCTCAAAAAGAGCTCAGACGAACAGTCTTGAAGGCTCGACCGAGCTCTAGAGCCCATGCCCACACACTTATGTTGGACATGGGTCTAAGTAGGTTTACCAGATTTGGCTGATTCTCAAAAAGCTAAGAGTTCAAAAAGCTGTAAGTGCCCTTGTGAACACAGATTCACCTAGTACTATCTTGCTTCATTGAGTAGTTGATCTGAGCAACTATGCAAGGAAAGAGAGAGCGCTCGTTTGGGATTTGAACCCGGGACCTCTCGCACCCAAAGTGAGAATCATACCACTGGACCAACGAGCCAGAGGATGCTGGGTTTTAGAGATGGTCACGTGTCCATGACAAGCTCAAAAAGAGCTCAGCCTAGCAACTATACAGGCAGTCTTGAACACTCGACATAGGTCTGGAAGCGACGCCCTCACAATTATCTTGGATCGAAGTAGGTTTACCAGATTTGGCTGATTGTCAATGAGAGCTGTCCTATAATGGTGAAATCTTTCCATCATTGGCTGGTGGCAGGTGTTTATTTTTTACCCTGTTTTGGTTTACTGAAATGTATTCTGTGAAGAGTTGTAAAAGTAGGAATTGCCCTTTTGAACACAGTTTCACCTAGTACTACCTTGATTTATTGAGTAGTTGAACAGAGCGACTATGCAAGTTAACGGAAAGGGCTCGTCCGGGATTTGAACCCGGGACCTCTCACACCCAAAGCGAGAATCATACCTCTAGACCAGGGGTCGGCAACCCAAAATGTTGAAAGAGCCATATTGGACCAAAAAAACAAAAAACAAATATGTCTGGAGCCGCAAAAAAAATAAAAGCCTTATAGAAGCCTTATATTGAAGGCAACCCATGCTGTATGTATCTATAGTAGCTATATTAGCCTACTATAGAAATGACTAAGTTAACTACAAATACATAATGAGCCTTCATGATTAAATGTTTATTTTTCCTGCAGTGCATCCTGTAGCAGTGGTTCTCAACCGGTGGGGCGGGGCGCGGGTTCAAAAAGGAGGCGCGTATTTGCGCCGGACTGTCCAGTTTTTCGAACCCCCCCCCCCCGTCGGCCATAGGTCCGCGGTGTGTTACTATTGCGCGCAGCCCCCCCGTTGGCCGTAGGTCCGCGGTGTGTTACTATTGCGCGCAGCCCCCCCCGTTGGCCGTAGGTCCGCGGTGTGTTACTATTGCGCGCAGCCCCCCCGTTGGCCGTAGGTCCGCGGTGTGTTACTATTGCGCGCGCCCCCCCCCCCCCCCCGTTGGCCGGAGGTCCGCGGTGTGCTACAATTGCGCGCAGCCCCCCCCCCCCCCCGTCGGCCGTAGGTCCGCGGTGTGTTACTATTGCCCGGTCCAAGAAACGTTGAATCCTCTGTTCTCCTCAGTTATTCTTCTCTTGTTCCCTTTGGGATCCATGGCCCATCACACAGCCGCCGGTTTGTTTACAACAGCCACCTGCCTGGCATCCCGCCTTACTGATAGAAACGTGTGTCGCAGGCTATGATGTAAATCTTTGTTGACAGAAATGTTGAAATTTAATATTTATTCTACACATTTTTACAGCATTGAAAAACGTTAATAATGTTTGTGTCATGTTTGTTTTCCTACAGAAACCATATTAAAACAAAAAATATATTTCTCTCCCCCATCTTTTTCCATTTTCAAACATTTTTGAAAAAGCTTCAGGGAGCCACTAGGGCGGCGCTAAAGAGCCGCATGCGGCTCCAGAGCCGCGGGTTGCCGACCCCTGCTCTAGACCAACGAGCCACATGATGCAGAACTTCAAAGATGGTCCCATGTCCACGACAAGCTCAAAAAGAGATCAGACGAGCACCTATACAGGCAGGCTCGACCGAGCTCTAGAGCCCATGCCCATACACTTATGTTGGACATGGGTCTAAGTAGGTTTACCAGATTTGGCTGATTGTCAATGAGAGCTGTCCTGTAATGGTCAAATCTTTCCATCATTGGCTGGTGGCTGGTGTTCATTTTTGACCCTGCTGTGGTTTTCCATGACCTTTACTGAAATGTATTCTGCAAGAGTCCACAATGGTACGAAAGCCCTTGTGAACAGGAATTCACCTTGTACCACCTTGCGTTATTGAGTAGTAGATCTGAGCGACTTTGCAAGGAAAGGTAGAGGAGTCGTCGGGGATTCGAACCCGGGACCTCTCGCACCCAAAGCGAGATTCATACCACTAGACCAACGAGCCAGAAGATGCAGTCTTTTAGAGATCGTCACATGTCCAAGACAAGCTCAAAAAGAGCTCAGCCTAGCACCTATACAGGTAGTCTTGAAATCTGGACAGAGCTCTGGAAACGACGCCCACAAAATTTTCTTGGACATGGGTCTAAGTAGGTTTGCCAGATTGGGCTGATTCTCAAAAAGCTAAGAGTTATAAAAGTAGGAATTGCCCTTTTGAACACAGTTTCACCTAGTACTACCTTGATTTATTGAGTAGTTGAACAGAGCGACTATGCAAGGTAAGGGAAAGGGCTCGTCCGGGATTTGAACCCGGGACCTCTCGCACCCTAAGCGAGAATCATACCCCTAGACCAACGAGCCACACGATGCAGAATTTCAAAGATGGTCCCATGTCCACGACAACCTCAAAAAGAGCTCAGACGAGCACCTATACAGGCAGTCTCGAAGGCTCGACCGAGCTCTAGAGCCCATGCCCATACACTTCTGGTGGACTTGGGTCTAAGTAGGTTTACCAGATTTGGCTGATTGTCAATGAGAGTTGTCCTGTAATGGTCAAATCTTTCCATCATTGGCTGGTGGCTGGTGTTTATTTTTGACCCTGCTGTGGTTTTCCATTACCTTTACTGAAATGTATTCTGCAAGAGTCCAAAATGGTGTGAAAGCCCTTGTGAACAGGAATTCAGCTTGTACCACCTTGCTTTATTGAGTAGTTGATCTGAGCGACTATGCAAGGAAAGGAAGAGGGCTCGTCCGGGATTTGAACCCGGGACCTCTCGCACCCAAAGCGAGAATCATACCCCTAGACCAACGAGCCAGAAGATGCAGACTTTTAGAGATGGTCACGTGTCCAAGACAAGCTCAAAAAGAGCTCAGCCTAGCAGCTATATAAGGCAGTCTTGAACACTTGACATAGGTCTGGAAGCGACGCCCTCACAATTATCTTGGGTCTAAGTAGGTTTACCAGATTTGGCTGATTGTCAATGAGAGCTGTCCTATAATGGTCAAATCTTTCCATCATAGGCTGGTGGCAGGTATTTATTTTTTACCCTGTTTTGGTTTTCGATTAACCTTATTGAAATGTATTCTGTAAAGAGTTGTAAAAGAAGGAATTGCCCTTTTGAACACAGTTTCACCAATACTACCTTGATTTATTGAGTAGTTGAACTGAGCGACTATGCAAGGTAAGGGAAAGGGCTCGTCCGGGATTTGAACCCGGGACCTCTCGCACCCTAAGCGAGAATCATACCCCTAGACCAACGAGCCAGAAGATACAGATTTTTTGAGATGGTCACATGTCCATGACAAGCTCAAGAAGACCTCAGCCTAGCACCTATACAGGTAGTCTTGAACACTGGACAGAGCTCTGGAAGCGACGCCCACAAAATGTTCTTGGACATGGGTCTAAGTAGGTTTACCAGATTTGGCTGATTCTCAAAAAGCTAAGAGTTCAAAAAGCTGTAAATGCCCTTGTGACCACGGATTCACCTAGTACTACCTTGCTTTATTGAGTAGTTGATCTGAGCGACTATGCAAGGAAAGGGAGAGGGCTCCTCCAATTATCTTGGGTCTAAGTAGGTTTACCAGATCTGGCTGATTCTCAATCAGCCAGATCTGGTATGACATGTCTTTCCATCATTGGCTGGTGGCAGGTGTTTATTTTTGACGCTGTTTTAGTTTCCGATTTACCTTACTGAAATGTATTCTGTAAAGAGTTGTAATAGCAGGAAATAACCTTGGGAACACAGTTTCACCTTGTACTATGTTCCTGTATGGAGCGGTTGTCCTGTATCCACATCTTTGGACGAGGGAGAGGGCTCGTCCGGGATTTGAACCCGGGACCTCTCACACCCGAAGCGAGAATCATACCTCTAGACCAACGAGCCACATGATGCAGACCTTCAAAGATGGTCCCATGTCCACGACAAGCTCAAAAAGAGATCAGACGAGCACCTATACAGGCAGGCTCGACCGAGCTCTAGAGCCCATGCCCATACACTTATGTTGGACATGGGTCTAAGTAGGTTTACCAGATTTGGCTGATTGTCAATGAGAGCTGTCCTGTAATGGTCAAATCTTTCCATCATTGGCTGGTGGCTGGTGTTTATTTTTGACCCTGCTGTGGTTTTCCATTACCTTTACTGAAATGTATTCTGCAAGAGTCCAAAATGGTGTGAAAGCCCTTGTGAACAGGAATTCACCTTGTACCACCTTGCTTTATTGAGTAGTTGATCTGAGCGACTCTGCAAGGAAAGGGAGAGGGCTCATCCGGGATTTGAACCCGGGACCTCGCGCACCCAAAGCGAGAATCATACCCCTAGACCAACGAGCCAGAAGATGCAGACTTTCAGAGATGGTCACGTGTCCAAGACAAGCTCAAAAAGAGCTCAGCCTAGCAGCTATACAAGGCAGTCTTGAACACTCGACATAGGTCTGGAAGCAACACCCTCACAATTATCTTGGGTCTAAGTAGGTTTACCAGATTTGGCTGATTTTCAATGAGAGCTGTCCTGTAATGGTCAAATCTTTCCATCATTGGCTGGTGGCTGGTGTTCATTTTTGACCCTGCTGTGGTTTTCCATTACCTTTACTGAAATGTATTCTGCAAGAGTCCAAAAAGGTGTGAAAGCCCTTGTGAACAGGAATTCACCTTGTACCACCTTGCGTTATTGAGTAGTAGATCTGAGCGACTTTGCAAGGAAAGGTAGACGGGTCGTCGGGGATTCGAACCCGGGACCTCTCGCACCCAAAGCAAGAATCATACCACT